GCTTAATAATAAGTGATGAGGAAAAAATTTTCACCAAATACGATTTCTTTCTTATGAAGCACCCACAGCATTAGCTGTGTAATATCCTTTTCTGGCAAGTGAGTAGACTCACACTTCTTAAATGTGCAAGGAAAAACAAGTTGAGAGTGCAAACATTCTCCTTAAGGAGAATCTCATTAAATTCCATAGCATATTATTCCTATACAGAAAGTTTTTGAGACAAGAGTGGATAAAGCCTGAGCAACCTAATCTGACCTCAGAGCTGACCCTGTTGTGAGCAGGAGGTTGGTCTACAGCTCTCCTGAGGTCCCTTCCAGCCTGAGCCATCCTCTGATGCTGCCAGGACGAGGCTTCTTGGCCAGGGTGACACAAAACCTGGAGGCAAAGTGAGGGAGAAATTCCGGCCCCACTCCCAAGGTGATCCCCTGAAGCTCCTGCTCAGACCAAAGTCGAAGGACTTGGTACAGAAAACAGTTGCAAATTGCTAAATACTGTGGGAGCAGAACTGAAAGGTGTCTACATGGTCATGAATTAGATATTTAGAATGTGCTGTTTGATGCCTGTTTTTTTTCATAAAGATTAAAAACTGTTCCTGTACAACTATTAAGTTTTTTATGAGTGCTTAGCACAGCAGATCCAGCAGTACTGTAAGTTCATAAAAACAGCTACTTTTTAACAAGAGTGTGTGCAGTTCTGTGGAGAAGGGCAATCAAAACTGTCACTTCATACATTATAATGGAGCAGGACACTTGTCATCCTCAAAGCTAAGCTCACTCAGCTACTGCAGCTAATACTAGAGATTTATTTAAATTAATCTGCAGGAAAATTAAATCCATTACCTTAAAAAGCAAGGGAATAAATCATACCCAACAGGAAACTAGGAAAAGCTGCTGCCATTTCAGTCACATCTAAGGTTGTGTGAGCACATGAATTTTTTCCTTGTCAATGACATAAAGAACAATTCATGGCAGGAAAAAGAGTATCAGCTGCTGTTAAAATGCACAACACAAATGCACTCAATGAGTTTAACACTGCAGCCAAAGTATGAAGAACATCTCAAGCTGTTTGGATTTCCAAACAAGACTCGAAGGGTCAGAAGAGGGAGGAGGACATGTGGGCAGGCTGGAATGATGGATGGTGTTTAGCAGCACGCTGTGTTTGGGTCCACTCTTGTTATTTTTGCAACAGGATGTCTCTGATTACTCTCTGAATAGAGAATGAGGATGGTTACGTCTCATTGCTCAAAGGGAACATTATTTTCAAGCCTTGCAAATTAAATAGGACATTTTAAAGCAAGCAGTCAATGAACTATCAGGTGCTGTTTGTCACCACTCTAGCAATAGTGTCAGAAGATTCCCTGGGGGCATCAGCAGCAGGTTTGGGGCTGGCACATCAGGTAAATGCTCTCTTGCCCTACCTCCAGCAGACCCCAGCTCTGCAGAGTCCTGTAGATCGTTTGGTCCAGGCCCAGTGATATAAAATACACAGCAGAGGGACACCAAGCCTCTAGGTGACTGCGTCAGCCAGAAAGGTGATGCAATATGGACATCACAAAGGATGGTGGAGAATTGCCTTCCCAAATCCCATCCTTCCAGAAGTCTCTGCAGAACTGGTTCCTGGCTCACAGGGAGCTGCCTGGAGCAACGATCAGGCTAAAGCTGCCTAAGTGAAGCACTTCTTGAGTGTCACCAGCAAGGTAAGGATACCCTCTGTCCCCTGCCAGACCTCAGAGGCTGTGGTGATGTTCACACTCCATAGTGCAGCCCCAGCCATGGAGCTCTTCCTTGAAAAATACTGAGGTTCCTCAATGGTGCCAAAGGAAAACTGCAAGTTTCTGCAACTTGAAGAAAAGGATCAGATGTGGGGACCTGGGAAACCACCTGATTGTGTATGCAGAGAAATGAGCACACCCAAGGGGTGTCAAGAGAGAGTTCTTTTCCAAGTAAAGACTTCAGGAAGACAGAAAGGATAGAATGTTGGCAGCAAGGTCAGTCAGAACTGACAGCTGATCTTAAATCTAACTAGACATGGGGCTGAAGCTGCAAGTGGAGGCCACAACGTGAAACACAAGGGAATAATTTCTCTACAACAGCATAACATTTCTTAATGAGTCAGCTTTATGAATTAGCTTATCTAAACCAGACACCAGCTCATCCAGGGTCTGGATGACTCAGTAACACCAAGGACCTCTCACTGGGAGTTACCAGTTTGACTCTGGCTCAAGTTCAAAGCATCTAAGAACTGTCTTCAGGATGCCACAACCTCTATAAAAACTGTCACTGGTCTTTGTGCAGTTTCTCAGTGAGCAAAAGTTCACATCAAAGCCTCCACTAAAAGCCTTTCCAAGGCTCTTCCATGTGAACCAACATGACCGAGAGTTAATGACGTTCTCACTCTTCACAAGGGATCTCAAGCTCAGGACTGAAGCACACAAAAACTGGTAGGACTGCCACACTGACCACCAGTTCTGTAACAAGGACTATGTGAAAAGGAAAAGAAAGGAAAAGGGAGAAGGGAGAAGGGAGAGGGAAGATCACAACATATTTACATACAGTGAAAATGAAAGCAGATTGTAAAATGATGCCTCGTTTGCACTAGTTATCACAGATGTTGTAACATAGCAGAATTTAAAAAGCACCAAACCTTTCTTGATATGAAGCAGCTAAAAAGAAGAAAACGTCAAAACTCAAATGTCAGACAAATTTTGGGCAAGAACTTTGTACATAACCCAAGCTCTCTGGCTTCCTTCCCAGAGCCAAGACACCAGTCTCTTACATACAATTTTTCCATCTCTCTCGTCTGGTTTTGACTAGTTTTAGCATAACCATTTAAGGGTTTTACTTAATCAGCCAGGAAGGAGAGAGTTCAAAGAACACGAGGGAATATGTGGCAAAATAAAACAAGGTTAGATCACTTGCACTGGATTATTGTCCTCTGGCACACCGCAGAAGGAACAAGCCAGTCGAGGTCTGCATGTTCAACTGCCTACAGGGAACCAGACCAGCATTATTCAAGGTAAGTGACACTTTAAAGAACTTTAAATTAGCTGTTGACAGTCAGGTAGATAGATTGATGAGTGATTACATGAAGTCCCCAACATTACCATTTTGTGGTGAAAGCAAATACGAAGGGAAGGGAGTAGGAAAATCCGTTAAATATGGTTTTGCCAATCTGTGGTGCATTCATGTGACAGGGAAGTTCGTTTAAGGACACTGGAAATTCATAAAACAAAGTTCTTTCTCTAAATCAAAAGCTGACAGAAAGTTTCCCAGCTATGGTTCTGACTCCAAAAACACTGCAAGCCATGCTAGTAGATTATGATAAAAAGAAAAATAACAAAAATCCCCTGATGAACTTTTTTCCTAATGAGTGTTCCTCCTTCCAGGGCTAAAGGAGCACAGCAGAAGTGCAGCTCCCCTGAACTTCACATTTCAGGCTGACTTACTGACTGTGTAACAGATGCCCTCTCTGCAGTGGTCCCTAAAATATGTTTTTAAATAAAATTAACTCAACTCAGGAACCCTGTAATAAGCACCATCTTTGAGAACAAATCAGAACAAGTTAATTGAAGCACTCTAACTATTTACAGTGAGAGTGAATTTACCCCCAAGGTTCCCTTTTGTATTTTGTCTCAATTTTATTGTAATTTCATCCATCACATTTTTTTCAGTCCTCCAAAGGTGATGGATAAAACACAGAAATAAATAGGACCAACTGTTCACAGAAGCCTAAGGGAAAACATAATTTTGTTATAAATAATCCTTGGCATGAATCATGGAAATGCAATACTAAAATTGTTTGTTGAATCATTTATGAATCAGGCCTTCAGTTTTAGTTTGCAAATCAGTTGTAGTTTCTTGTTGATGTTCTTTTGCACTTTGCTTTTTTAGCTGGAAAACAGCCTTTGAGAAACTGATGTATAATCCAGAAAACAGAGTGAATGAGGGAATTTTTTCTAAGGGAATCCCTTTGCTGATGCAGGGTGCTTTTATTGGTGTTGGTGAGGGATTTGTACAGGATGACGAATCAAAGGATCAGAGGATGTCAGGGGTTGGAAGGGACCTCCGAAGATCATTGAGTCCAATCCCCCTGCCAGAGCAGGACCAAAACTAGGGCAGGTCATTCAGAAAGGCATCCAGACAGGTCTGGAAAGTCTCCAGAGAAGGAGCCTCCACAGCCTCTCAGGGCAGCCTGTCCCAGGGCTCTGTCACCCTCACAGGGAAGAAGTTCTTCCTCACGTTGAGGTGGAACTTCCTGGGCTCCAGTTTGAATCCATTGCCCCTCGTCCTGTCCCAGGGCGCCAGTGACAAGAGCTTGTCCTGCCTTCTTGATGCCCAGACCTCATGTATTTATACATATTTATATTATATATATTATATAGAATACATTTGAGAGACTAAACGATAAGAAATTATGACTTTATCTTCACCACTTAGAGTTTTCTCCCCATCTTTCTGCTAAACATGTCACAAAGGCAAAGACAAGATGGTGCCTTACAAAAACCACTAAAACAAAATGAGTTGCCAATCTCTGCCATGAGATTCAACTCACAGAATCACAGAATGGTTGGAGAAGACCTCTAAAATCACTGAGTTCAACCATCCAAACAAAAGCCTGGGATCTAACAGATAAATGTGGACACTAAAAATAATTTACAATGTTGTTTGTTCTGAGATGTGAAAATTTGAAGATTTGTTGTTACAAACAAATGCAGAAGCTCAGAGAAATGGAGCTGCATCCTACCACCTTGTGCAGGGAGTTGTTACACATGAATAAATCCACCAAAAAAGTGGAAATTCTGCTGTCACGAGACATCTGATTACCCAAAGTCCCCACATGAAAGTTATAATCTCAAAGAACAGAGAGGTGTATTTCTTTGTTAAGTCTTTTGTCTCCAATAGCTATTTTTCGTCTCCTGAGAGAGAGAGAAGCTTGGAGACAGATAAAAGCAACATGAAGCCTCATTTCTCTGTGGCTGGAGCAGGTGTGCACTGCCTTACCTGATCTGTCCTCGAACCAGTGGTCTGTTTTTTGTCCTGTTCATGTTTGAGTCGAATGGAACCTCAAAGAACTGTAATAAAAAAAAGAGGAAGAATCAAAATGAAAGGATGCTGGAAAACATGCATGGAACGTCCTGTCGGTATCTGCAGGTGTGTTCATCTCTAGTTTTGAAGGTTCAGGAATATGACAAAAATGGCAAACTCCTTGAGCTTTGATAGTTTGCATTAATGCTTTTTGGCATCCCCTTAGAAAGAAAAACACCTGGAGGACAGAAATAGTTTGTGCAAGTCCCCAAAAGTTAATCATCTGAAGTAGAGTTTTGTTCCAAGTGCAGTTCTCAACAGATCTGACACAGCTTTTACACACACACAGTCACACACACACAGCCCTGCCCCCAGTTTTATATTAACACAAACTGCCCTTGCAAATGTGCTCCTGGCATTTAAAAGACAAACACTCTATTTTTTTTTTTTCCAAGAACATCTAACTTCTGAGAACCTTCAACCCACCCCAAAATCAATCAGCTCTTGTAAAACGCTACTGGAACTGCACTGAGCATCTCGTTGGAGCAGCAGGGAATGAACACACCATATGGTGTTATTTAATGTCACAACCCAATTTGACTTCAAACGTCACCTATGGGAAAATCCAGGCAGCACTATCTCCGTGCTTGGAATGTTGTATAATCCATTTTATAAAGAATTCCACTGCAAAAGCCTGCAAAGTCATTTAGTTTTATGTGTGCAAAATAATAAGAATCAGTGTCTATTTATTTATAAAAAAGAGTAGTATGTATTTCTAGATGAATATTTTATACTGTCTTTATGTCTGAGGTTTTGGGGTAGGATCCCAGTTCTGGTGAATATGTAAGAAAAGTACCATAACAAATCATAGTATCAAAGCATCAGACTGACAGAGAGCTCAGTGAAGAGAGTCCAGAGGAGGCCACAAAGATAATTCTTGGGCTGGAGCAGCTCTGCTCTGGAGCCAGGCTGGGAGAGTTGGGGTGTTCAGCCTGGAGAAGAGAAGGCTCCAGGGAGACCTTAGAGCAGCTTCCAGTGCCTGAAGGGGCTCCAGGAAAGCTAGGGAGGGACCTGGGACAAAGGCTTGTGCAGGGGGAATGGATTAAAACCAGAGAAGGGGAGTTTTAGGTTAGACACTGGGAGGAAAAGCTTCACTCTGAGGGTGGTGAGACCCTGGCCCAGGTTGCCCAGGGAAGCTGTGGCTGCCCCATCCCTGGCAGTGCTGAAGGGCAGGTTGGATGGGGCTTGGAGCAGCCTGGGCTGGTGGGAAGTGTCCCTGCCTATGCAGGGGGTTGGAACTAGATGATCTTTAAGGTCCCTTCCAACCCAAAACAAACCAGTTTATGATTCTGTGCCTGAGGGGTCTGTGGGGCAGTGACAAGCACCTGCACATGGAGCCCTGGCTGCCTCTGCAGAGGGATAGGTCAGAGCTGCTCAGCTGCAACACTGCCCTGGAACATTGGATGCTGCACAAAGAACCTCCCTAGGAAACCTCAGGAGACGGGAAAGGACCCTGTTTGGATCCAAAACCAGTGATTGCTTCTGACAGCTCAGCATTTTGCTAATGGTTTGTTTCACTGTTACATTTCAAAGATGATTATGTTAAATGAAGAAAAAATCTCCTTTGACATCAGACTGGTAGAGCAATACAAGGGAAAAATCCTATACAGCTGAAGCCTTTTATCCTGAAATTATTTTGGACTACACTCAGTTTTGCTTTCCTTTTAAATACTCAATCTTCCCTTTATTTCTATTTGCAAACTCTGCCATGAGCTTATTTCAATTTTAAACTTGTGCATGTGAGAAGATTCTGGCTCATTTCAGAGTATTTAAGCTTTACAGATAAAGGTACTTTGTGTATGATTGATGAAGTTCAAATACTGTGCAGGTTTTAAACTCACTGTGTCTCAAACATAAAATGACTGAAATGAAGCACAGTTGGACACGAAACACTGTTGAAAGAATTCAAACCTAAGCAGTTGAGTTGTCAGTATAACCTAACAGTACCATAAGCAGTGTATGGAATATTTCTAGATATTTAATATTGTAGTTAACCTCAGAATAGAAAGTAAACTTTGAACAAGAAACTTCTCCGTTGATCTGAGTAGTCAAAAAAGTCCATCTCTGTCACACACAGACATGGCTGCTCCTGAAATTCAGATTACTGCATGACTTCACACTTATTTTTTTCCCTTTTTAAAATCCAACAATCTGAGTAATCTTTTACCCTCAACTATATAATCTTATACCCTCAACAAACTACATATCCAAATGAGCCACAGTTCAGAAAAATCCTTTTGTTTGCAGTGCCCCAGATTCTTTCACTGAGCTAGTTGCTCTTACATGTCAGCAAGATGCCATTTATCGAACTTTCCCCATTTTGCTCCCAGATGTTCAGCAAAATTCTCTCTCCAAATTATTTTCCCCTGATATTCAGAAAAAATGAAAAAAACGTGCATCTCAAATACCATTCCACAGGACTGAAAGGGTGAACCCAAACATACTATCTCATGCCAGGCCAGCACTTTAGGCCTGTTTTAGCAAAGAGTAAATTCAGTAAGATGAATCCTGGATAAATAAATATTTCAGAAGCACTCAAGAGGCTTTTTCCTCAGGAAGTCTGAATGCATCAGTTCAGCTGGACAAGGCAAAATATTATCTGCCCTAGGTATTTGGGAAGCCAGCCATGGAAAGGACAGACAGAGGGTTAAATCCACACTATCTAAAAATCCCTGAGTGACAAAACTTGGCAACAGCTTTCAAGACCCTAACCTAAGTTTTAATCAGTATGCATGAACATTTAAAACATGATGATGGAAAAAAATAAATCAGGCCAGCTAGCACTTTGTGGTTTATTTCTCTGGCAGGCTCATCAGACTTTGTGTAGATCTCATCTAGTTAATATACAGTAATTATATCTTAAACATCTAACAATCCTTAGATTAGCTGTCACATTACTCCTTATAGCTGTGTACACTCACGTAGGTTTTTTTCCTTCAGCTTCCTTCTATTGGTTTCCATTTAGTTTTTAAGTAAAACATTACAAAACGTTTAATTTCTTCAAGCTACCTCCTGGAAACAGCAATCAACACAGAGGGTAGCTAATCATTCAGATCTCCTGGGGGATACATAGATTAATAATTTCCTTTGGCCTAAGCCAAGATCCCCAGAGTATCATCCTGCAGCTGGCATCCTGCTAGGCTGGCATGGAGAGGAATAACTTTGTAAGGAACGAGCAGCAGGGCAGCCCATGCCTCTACAGAACATCCTCTTGCTCTTTGGGTATCACCCATCAACACCCACCCCACCCATGCAGTTCTCACAGACCATGGCCTGTTTGCAGCTCCTGAAGGCAGCAGAGCAGATGGGGAGCCCTGAGCAAGTGCTGCCTTTGCCTCCCAGGGGCAT